CTGAGTCACAGAACTGCTAAGAAGTCTGACCTCAGTGCCTGTGTTCCCAACTCACTCCTTTGCCATGCTGTATGACCATTTGCTGTTGTAATTACTATCAGTTCATCATTCCTATTAATCTTTGTATTCTGATAGGAATACCTTGATAGCACCCTTTGAGTTCTCTGGTGAATTCTAAATAGAATCTTTATTACTCAGTTAACTTAAACCACTATTAGTGTCCTTCTTCCTCAGATTTTCTTTTTTCTTTTCCACTTAGCCCCAACTGTCCTCAAACTTGCTATGTGGCTGAGGCTGACCTTGAAGTCCTGTCTCCTGCCTCCATCTTCCAGGTGCTGGGATTTCAGATGTGTACACCTCACTTTCCTCTCTCAGCTTTTACCACAGCGTGTTTTCCCCTTGTTTCTTTATTTTATTGTTTATGTTATACCTCTTCTCACTGAAATGTCTGCCCCTAGAGGGCAGAGGGTTCTTTATTTTGCTCATTGATTTATTCTTAATACATAAATGCCTGCTGCGTAGCACTGCTCAGTAACTATGGGCTGCATGAATAAATACTGGCTGAATGAGTTGTATTAAACCCAATAGATGGATGCTTTTGGAAGCCCTTGTTAAGAAAACTCCAAAGGACTCTCATATGAACATTTGAAAATTGCCCTGTTCTGACTTTTTTCTAGTTCCCTGTCTAGAACTTTTAATGCTAATTACTCTTGCCTTTACTTCTCCTTCACATCTCCTATTCAGGATTCAAGGACTTTCCCCCTACAGATGAGAGTTATGCAATTTGGGAGTCTTTTAGATAGACCCACTGAAGGGGTACTCCAGTTGCCTCACCTTTGTCCCTGTTCAGCATGGAAGAAGCCAGAGCGGTCTGTGTCCCTATTCCCTATTGGAAATTTGGGTAACCCGTTTAGAGGATGGTATGATAAGAATAGGAGGTAGGAATTGGCTAGGCAGTTAGGGTAAAAAGACCCCAAAGAAATATAGCCAAGTTTCTTGACTAAAAGTCAAAATGTCCTTGGGCCTGTTAGCAACATACTCCATTCCAAAGGCCAAAAATGTCAAAAGTATTTGGGAGCTTGTATTTAATCCTTAAAAGATTTTAGGGTTACCTCTTCAGAGGGGGGAATGTTGGAGGGGAGGGAGTGGGCATGGATTTGATCAAAACACCTTATATACATGTATGAAATTCTCAATAAAGTTTTTGTAAAAGTTAAAAAAAATGATAGAAGGAACATTAAAAAAAAAAGCTATCTTGTTGGTATACGATCAATGGGATTCAAACATTCCTACAATATTTATAAGCATCAAATTCTGTACCTGAAGCTGTGGTTCATAGCATTTACTGAACACCAGATCCTCTTCGAGGCACTTTTATGTAAAGCAGTTCTTAATATCTATAGTCACCCTATGAAATGGTCTGCAAAGATCTAGAGATGTGAGAACACAGCTCTTTTCCATTAGGAGCTTCAAGCAGAGTTGAGAAATGATAATTATGATGAGTAAATAATTAGAAAGCAATGCAATTTTATAATGCCTGCATGTAATTATTAAATTGTAACAGTTCAATTTCAAGGAAATAGTATATAGTTAGGTATTCCAGCTTCTAAGAAAAGTTGATTTATCTAGGTCTTAAGAGATGGGAGGAATTTGGATAAATGAGGCGAAGAAAGGGATGGCATTCACTGTCAGAGAGACCTAAAGTAAGGTACGAAACAAAGATGACTTTAGGGGTCTTGGGATAATGATTTGTGTGATTGGGAATGTAGGGATGTGCCTGACCATGAAAAGCTTTGAAACTCGGAAAATGTTGGACCTCGGATGGATTTAATCAATGAAGGAAGCACTGTGTGTGAATGTGTGGGTTTATGTACCTAATTTATAAAGTTAGGAAAACCAGTCCTTCCAGCCTTCCTTTGTGAGTTATACAAGATAAAAAAAATATAAAGTGTGTATTTTAGTTCCTGGCATTTGAGAATCACCCAGTCAGTGCTTGGTCTTAAGACTACTACTAATGATAAAATAGAAAGTTTTGACTTGAAATTTTAATCTGGATAAATATAGTCATTCTGGATTTTTTTAAAATCAGGATTATCTAATTTTTCTTTATAAAGTCAAATATAGTTTAACTAGCAATCACATTAAGACAAACTCCTGAAATCCCAAAGGGGGAAAAATGAGCACTCTTCCTATATATACTACTGCAGAGAAACGGTATTGTTTTAGTAGCATGCCCATTGAGAGAGCTGAGGAATAGCAAAACAGAAAGGTCTTCAAATTACTAGCTCTTTAAGTCTTTAAAAACCTGATATTTGAAACTCTGCCAAATCTAGTCATAGCTTTAGGATTCTCTGTAGGGAATATTTCACTAAAATTCAGTTTTTTATAAAACAACAGCCATTTCCCAGAGGGATAAACAGAGAAAGCATAATAACTTCTTCGAGATCCTCTATAAACTTCAAAGTGAGGAGAATGCCTGCAAGGTTCTCATTTTGTTTTAGCTTTTTTTCTGGTGATGATAGAGTATAAATAAACTGTAACTCAAAGGCTTTTAGTACTTTAATATGAAAAAAATCCTCTTGAATATAGTACACTGATTTTTTTGGTGCAATATATTTCATACTAACTATTCTCTGAGCTATTTACTGGAGTTAATGACACACTTTGTAATTAATCATTATTCTAGATGAAGAAAACTACAGCAAGGTTCTACAGAAAACATGTTGATGGGGATGTCTGAGCAACATGATTTCTGTAGACAGAGGACTAGAAAGTTACTCAGAGGGGAAAAAAAGGAAAATGAAAAGAAGAAAAAAATTATTCAAGTCATTTGAAAGTTTTAAAGTCAGGAACTTGAGTGAAAATAAAAGTCAGAAGTGACTTAAATCCATACCTGCAGTTTGCCTTAATAGAAATAGAAAACATCTCTACCAAATAGAAAATATTTTATGCAACACCCTGGATCTGTTCCATCTAATTAAGAGAAAGGTCATCAGCACACAAAACATGTTGCTGAGTAGCTGGATTAATCTTTTAACAGAGTCATAAGTATTTCTAATTCTCTTTGCCCTTAAACCTTGGATTTAAGTACGCTTTCAGGCATACACACCCCTTCTCTTCTTCCTCTCCCTCTAACTGGCTGCCACTTTCAGACATTCTATGCTGTCCCCCTACTGAATGAGCCATTGTGAACTGAGCAACTCTTTACTTTCCTGTAGTCTTTGCAACCTGCTGCCTAAACCTCCCTTCTACTCTTAAGGGCCTCTATGTAACTTGTGAGCCATGCAGTTTCCAAACCCTGAGGTTAGCTTGGGGTTAAGTGTGCTGTTTGTGCACAGGTCGCTGTTTGCTCTTCTGCTGGCAAGGTAGGTGAAGACTTAAGCAATACCCCCTGTGCATTTAGTTTAGGATGTGAACATTCTGGATCATGAGGGTCAGGACTAAAAGTTGGCTGCAACTAATTTGTTTTGGTTTATATGGATCAAGTACATATTGGCTTAGTGGTAGGGACTGCCTTTAATATTCCAGAGTGTTGGCTCCCTACAAGCTCTTTAGCCCTGCCACAAAATGAAACCATCCTGAATATTTTCTACATTAAGTGTGTTGGCGTCTGCTGTCTTCAGCCTCCTCTGCTCCTTTCATGGTATCGGGTACAGTTCCATCAGCACAGGGTCTGGGATGCAGGTTAGTTCCCATCTCATCGCAGCAGCTGGCAGATGCTGCGAGCAGAAGTCCAGGATTAGGGTGTACAGTTGCAAAGCAGCCATGAAATCCTTTTACAAAGAGTAGTGATTGATTGTTGACCTCCTATGTATATGCATATGCACATGCCTGCACATTTCAACTCAAGAATATTCTCATAAACCTTAGCAGAAGAAAACAATGGTGCTTACTCAGACTTCTGAGCATCAGCCCTGAGGAAAGTGCTTTGAAACAGAGCTGAGGGTTTACATAGTGAGGGGGTTTCTCTCCCTGTTTATTGCTCTGTCCTCCATTCTGGCTTTCGTCCCAGAGATGTCCAGTGGTTCCAGCAGCTTTGGAGTTAGTGTCTCTGATGTGTTTGCATCTGACCTCTGACCTAAACTTCAGTGTTATTTTCAGCTGTTCTTTGACAGGGGCTGCAACAGCTGCTGCTTAATACCACAGACAGCTTCTGACACATGCAGAGTTTCTAGCAATAGGATTAATCTGCTGATCCTTCCCTCTGATTTGAAGCTGGTTGCAATTTTCCTGCTCTGAGTAGAGATGGGGAATAAAAGCCAAGCTCGAGGAAGCCTGAAGTACAGTGTTAACCTAAAAAAAAAAAAAAAAATAGTGAATTTTTCATAGTGTTTACCGTCAAACAACCAAAACAAAAATGCATTTCTTGCTGCAGTTAAAAAGGAAGAGCAAAGTGCTTAGCTTTTAAACAGCTGGTTGCTAGTTGAATTTAAAAATGCAGTTCAGAAACTGTCATAAAGAAATACTGAGAACATATGCTGATTGAAATATCTTTAAAGTGTCCCTAAGAAGCATGAGGTTCTGAGAAAATGTGACCATCCCACAAACTTCATTTGGCAAAGTCCAATAAGTTTTAGAAAAACAGATTATTCTAAAAATATTTTGAGCTGTTTTATGACTTAACCCCCAAACAAATACCAGAACTTTTTTAAAAAGTTCGTTTTCAGTGGGTTTTTTTTGCATCTGGAAAAGACTGATATCCAGGTCAGAGACTTTCTGGTTTCAAAGTCCACAGTTAGAACTGTTTAGTTTCAATGGCAAAACTAATTTGGGTTGTCAGGATGTAATTTTTTTTTTTCCATTTGCTATCAAACATCAGCTGATAGGCAGAGCTTGAAGCTGTCCTTCATGTCTCAGATAATGGCAAAAATAACAGGCACTTCGTGTTACCAAACTAGGGGTGTGGCTCTGCTGGCGGTTAGCTCCTTTTGCTCTTATGATAAGCTCAATGGGATTGTCTATTTTTAACTTCCTGTTCTTTCCTTTTGGCCAAGTAATCAGTGCGAACATGGAGCTTTGCCTGAATGAGTCCTCGTAGCCGTGTGGCTGCCTTCTGACATGAACAGCAGACGCGCAGCTCTACCCAGGCTGCCCAAGGTGTAAACCCTGGTTCTAAAGCACCATGTCCTGCAAAGCAAGTCCGGGTGTGAGGGCTTCCACCACGACGGTCAGCTCTGTCGCTGTGCAGGCTGGGGACTCCAAGATCGTGATAGCCGTTGTAAAGGTAAGCTAACAGATTTCTTTTCTCTGTGTGGCTGGGAACCTTTTGTCGCGCGAGAACCCTGAAGGATAATGCACAAGTTCATGGGACACAGCACAGAGCAGCTAATAGCAAGGGCTCTTGATCACTTAAATCAGCAACGAAGAGAAACTTCTCAGTTTCAGCAAGTTAACTGCCAGTTCACTTTTCTTCCTAGGAAGTATCTACAGCAGCTTAATAAAACAAAGTTTGGTATTACTTTCGTTTGGTTGTTAAAGGCATGGCACGTATGACAGATGTTCAAGATGACAGAATGCCATCTGGAGTCCGGTGGGCCAGGGCAATACCTGTGTCTTTTGAGTGGATGTGATAGAGGTGGGAGGAGGCAGGTTCGAGAGCCGCACTGTCCTGAGCGTGGTAGAGTGCTGGAAACACTAAGAGGCTCCTGCATGTGCCTAGCAGGACTGGTTTTCACGTGGTAAAGGCAGCACTAAAATGCTTCTCCCATTGTAGAGGGGGATGGAGACCCTGCCACAGATGACTCAAGCTCTTTATAACAAGAAGCTGCAGCCACTTGGGGGCTTAACTGCATGTTTTACGTCCAGCAATTTGCAAAGATGGCCACACATCTTTAGGTTGCAGAACACACACATGATTTTGTTCCCTTTGAAAACATCCTGCAAGATCTTCTGAAGCATAAGCTTGGACTTTCCACTACTTACCACCTAAACAAGGTGAATACCTGGCTTAATTGAATGTTTTTTGTTTTTTGTTTTTTTTCTGGCCTTCTGCTAGAGCAAAAACAAGAGGCCTGTTTAATTGAATTGCAGCAAATTTTACAATAGTATGAAGATTCAAAGAGGAAAACAGAACTTCACACGGAGCAAAGTGATTCACTACGGAAGCACAGAGCCTAAGGTTCCTCCCAAGGCTCAGTTGCCAGTGTTAGGAGACCACCACCTGCATAAGCAAGACCCAAGTGAGCTTGACTTCCCCAGGCTGCGGCAGTAAGAGTTCATCACCCACATGTGATTTAATGATGCTTTGAGAACAAAAGAGTCTAGGAGGGAGGGAAAAGATGCAAATCCATGACTTAAAAAAAAATTTAACATTTCTTTTCCTCAAACGTGAAACACTCTTAGCATAGACTGAATCAGCAGGCTTAGGGAATAACCTATTTGGAGAATCAGAGGTACAAAGAAAAAATTTAAAAAATTTAATATTACACTGGGAACTCTTTTCAGCTGGATTCTGTTTCTCAGACTGTTCTCCCTCAGCTCCCTTACTCTAATGTTGTCTCCATATTAAACACGCTTGAAGCTCCTCAGAGGGCAGACATCATCCTGATGGATGAGAAATGCCTGGGTCTGGTCTGGTGGTGAAGTTCTGGATGGTAAAGTTCCCATCCTACTTTATCCATGTGAAATTTCATAAATTTCATAGTTTTTTTTGTAGATCACAATTATGTGAATTTCTTCTGTAACTTTGTAATATTCAATAATACATCATCTAATGCACATGTTTCCCATTTGGGAATTTAATTACATTCCAAGAAAGAAGAATTTATTCTATGACTAAAAGAAAATAGGGCATGGATTTGTTATTAAATTGGTTATGTTTTAACATGGTAGGCCCATTTCTGTAGAAAGAAGAAGTTTTTACTATACTTGGAAATTTTAAAGTAAAAAATGAAAAGAAGGTTGAGGAAGAAGGAATAAAAGGAACTAGAAGTTCATTTCATTCATTTTTATTTTTAGTGTGGCAAATGGGTACAACTTCAACTGGCTGAATCCCAGCCTAATCTTCTAGAAATTGGGAGCAGTCAAAATGAAACCAAAAAGCTGCTTCATGACCATGAACTTCTTTTGGCCAAGCTCAAGGTAAGAATCTCAGGCGAAGCAGAGGCAAAGTTAAAAAAGAAAGATGCTGTTCACACCTTTCCTCTTGATTCCTCTGGTGTTTCTGGCTGTGGCCATTTTAATATGATGGTGGATAGATAATGGAAAAACATAATCATTATTATGGGCAAACATCAGCATAGAAAAGGAAAAACAAGGACTGGGGAGCTAGCCAGCTGGTAATGTGCTTGTCTTGCAAGCATGAGGATCGAATTGGATCCCTGGAGCCCTTATAAAAATGCCAGGTGTGGAGGCACGCTTGTGATCCCAGCGCCGAGGAGGCAGAGAGGAGGACTCTAGGGCTTGTTAGACAGACAGTATAACCAATTGCTGAGCTCTCTGCCAGTGAGAGACCCTTTCTCAAAAGAGGTGGATGGTGTTCCTGAAGAGGACACCAGAGGTTATCTTCTGACCTCTATGAGCACACACATAACACACATACATAATAAAAAATAAGAAAGTTGTGTTTTTTGAAAACTTGACCTAATGTGTTAGAAAATTTGGAGATGTCCTTTACTTTCACAATAGAGAAATAAGTAAATTTTCTCTGGCTGCCCCTGTGAGAATGAATTGCATCACCTTTCCATCCCATGAATTACACTGTCAACTCACAACAGTGGAGCCAACCTTTCTGTTGTAATGAGATTTCTGGTAAGAATAATTTAGATAAACCATGAAAAATACCTGATTTTATGCTTAGTATTGAGAGTTCTTGAAACTCGATAATATTGTTAGTAAAATCAGACCCAGCTCATTGTAGTCAATTAAGAATGTGAAATTAACATTGATTTGGGATTGTCAAGGTCAGCCACATAATTAGTAAGGTTTGGTACAAAATCCCCCGAAACCTGTCATAGTGCCTTTTATTTGATATTTAATATCTGGCTCCTTTGGGTGCTAGCAGACATGTCATGAGAGCAGACCTCACGAGACTCAGGTAGTGCACTCTATAAGAACAGACTCAATGAGAGAGGGGGAGGGAGTAGAGGGACAGCAGACAGTGCCTCTCCCACGGAGGAAGGATCTCACCCGCCATGAGTTTCCAACTTCCAGCACTTGCTCTGGAACTTAACTTACAGAATGCAAATTGAAAGAAAAAAATCCTTAAACTTTTTAAGACAATGACAGGTGTCTTCTTTGCAACAGAGCAGTATGATACAGCTCGTTCTGAGTCATAAGCCTCACAGGCAAACAGAGGTCTTTGCTAAGATCAAAGAGATTTGGTGAAGATTCAGAGTCCTGAAATGCCAGGTGGTTCTGTGATTTTAGGACTTGAATAATACCGACTTCTTTGTGCATCTAGGCTGAAATTTATACTAGATTGTTATTCAGAAGCAGACCTCACCTACATCCAATTTATTGACAATGGTAAAGGTAACGAATTGCGTAAATCTGACTAAGGCGAAGAAAGAATTAGTACTGAAGAAAAAAACATCCATTAGAATCCTAAATTTACTCCCTTGTTTGACAGCTCCTTGCTCTGGTCTCTGGATCTGAGTTGTTATTCAAGGGACAAGCCCTGGTTATCTGGAAGCCTTGTGTATACTGGGGAGACAAACAACAACAAACACCATTCTAATGTGAAAGAACATTGAACCAGAATCAAAAGACCCATGTTTAGCTTCAGTTATGTCCCAAATTAGTGTAATTTGACTAACAGTATAAGGTCTTCCTGTTATTTAAAAAGTTGCAATAAATTCTTGGATCTCTAATTCTATGAACTGAAGAAACTCAATACTTACTGGCTTTTCCAATTCATTCCTGAGGTTTGTGTCCTCCTCGTCCCCTGGGTTCCCATCTCCTTTCTAAACACCTGCCATCCGTTAATCTGGACTTAAAAACCACATCCCTTTCCATGTTCCACTGTAACTCATGCTGCCTGGCATTGTCTGGTTCACTGATGAATCCTGAATGGTGAGGAGACTCACTACAGATTGGGTCTCTCCAGATACAGTTTTTCTTCCCTCATCTCAAGACAACGCCAGAAGGAATGCTTTCTTAGGTGGAACAACATGGCTCTTGCTTCTGTGCTCACACTTTTCTACTGGACGCTATCCTGGATCTAAGATAGGAAAGCGGTTTCCATTTAACAGAATCTGTCTTCTAAGGCACTTATGGGTCTATATTCTAAACACCTGGTTCTTTTATGACCGACTTCAGGCTGTGGGCTAGCTACTTCAATCTTTTGGATTTTAGGCTTTTACCTTGATGCAAAAGTCGATGGAAAAATGTAGCTCTCACCTCAAAGGGGATAAAAGATAGTTTATTCTGGAGCCATATGAGTGATCATGGCCCAGGGACAAATTCCAGGTACCAATGTGGTAACAGCTTGATAAAGTTTTTATAGCAATAGAGCAAAGTCATAAACCAAGGTACTTTTCAAATCCATTGGTGGAAATATTAAGTAGCAGGTTGAAACCTCCACTAATAGGCCTCAAATGTCATCTAATGGCATTGTTAGTCTTTTAGTTGTTAAGAAACTAGGATTTTGTAAGTTAATACGTTCCAAAAGGTTTTTATCTGTTCATCACAGGATGTTGAGTTCAACACAGAAGTAGGCAAAGAATGGGTATTTAAAGGCCTAAAGATAGCCCAAGAGAAATCGTAATTAGGCTCTGGACCTGCAACATTCCAACCTCTGCAGTCATTGAAATTCTAATCAGTTTATCAGCCTGGCAAAGGTTCAGTTGAGGGTGCAGATTCTTTTGGGAACTTCTATTCACAATCTGTTATAATTAGGGGAGAGGACAGATCAGAGCTTCATATTTACTGGATCTTACCATTTAAATACCATGGGACTCTGGCCTTGCAAATGGGTCTAAAAAACTTTCAAATAAAAAGGCATTTTGGCCGGGCATGGTGGCACACACCTTTAATCCCAGTACTTGGGAGGCAGAGGCAGGCGGATCTCTGTGAGTTCAAAGCCAGCCTGGTCTCCATAGTGAGTTCCAGGACAGCTGGGGCTACAGGGAGACCCTGTCTCAAAAAGACCAAAAAAAAAGGCATTTTGGCTTCACCTAGGATTCTGGCCATAATCTTTTAATATTCATTTCTCAAACTCTCCCCCACTCACCTGCTTACTTTGTTTAACCTAGCCATCTCAGCCCCAAGATGCATTAAGCAGTAGGTCCATATTCCAAACATTACTGGTATTTTTTTTAATGTTTGTAAAGAAGAAAGTAATGAAGGAGTCTGAAGTACGTTTCAGATGTGCCAACTTAAAAAAAATAAATGGCAAATTCCATCACTTGACTGAGTAGATCACTAATTTAACTAATTTACTAATTATGTTACCAGGGCCATCACAACTTAACCTGTAGCAGAAAATTACTTGGCTCAAGTTAGTTGTAATAGGAGGTGTTCTAAGGTAAGGAATGTTAGTAGTTCAAGAAGCCAATAATATTTAATATTTAATGTTGATTCCAGTCCTTTCCCTGTGTGTAGGGTCCTGCAATAAATTCTAATTATGAAGAAGAATATTCTGGAGGGGGTTTTGGGAGGGTGTAGGAGTCAGAGTTGAGTTTTTTTTTATTTGATCATAACACTTATCACCTCTAGTATGAGGGCATGCCTTGAAAAATTAGGATAATAACAGTTAGCTTCACACTTCCAGAAAGAAAATTTGGGAAGAGAAATGTAATGCTATATGGAAGTGTGTGCTGCTTTTAAGAGGAAAAGTGGCGTAATTATTACGTTAATGATGAATATATCAGAGTAATGTGAATGTTTAATAGAAAAGCTATTTTCTACCTTCTACTGAAAAGTATCTCAACCCTCATAATGTAGACTAGAGGGAAAAATTTGGGGAATACAAGACAGCTGATGCTGTCTATATCCCAAGGGATCTTATTTTGCCTTCAGCTGTGTACTTAACCATCCCAGTGGACTATCCAGAGGAAAAATATTTCCTTGTTTTCAGTGATGAAAGCATAATCATGTGGAAAAAGGCTTAACTTCCAAAGGCATCTAGGTTCCCAGACCATGCTCAAATTATTTTTAATGAGAAAGAAGGATTCAGGAAAGAGAAGAAGGTGAGTGATTTAACAGGTGACAATCTGTCCATGGCTGCTATTACATTATGCCCTCAGATAGGCACAAGGTGGTAAAAGACAGAAAGGAAGAGGCAGAGGAACTTTCTAGATGTTGCTGCGAATGTTCCTCTTCTCAGCATATCTTTCAACTGCACTGCTAGTGTTCAAAGAAGTTAGGACTGTGTAAACCACAAAAACTCTTGGGCAGTGGTGCCTGTGTTATAGATGTGACATTAGCCTTCACTGAAGAGTGACCCTTCAGAGTAAATCTTGCACCTCTCATTTGATTCTCATTGATGGCCATTGGTTCGCTGGTTCAGATGTAATCTCTGGCTCAATGGAGGCTTATATTTGTCCCATTTCTGATTATTAAGCTAGAAATAAATGCTATAAATACATTAGTAGTAAAGCTAAAGGCCTTATTAAGACTTGCCTTGCTAGGCAAAGTGTTACATGCCTTTATTCCCAGCGTTCAGAAGTCAGAGGCAGGCAGATGTCTGTGAGATCAAGATCAGCCTGGTCTACATAGTGAGTTCAGATCAGTTGTGGCTACAGGAAGACCCTGTCTTAAAAAGACCAAAACAAACAATGAAACAAAAAACAAAAACAAAAAAATAACAAAATTTACCTTAAACAAGGGATGATGTGCATTGCTGCTTTAAGCTGCAGTTCACTCAGATTTGCATTAAAAAATTTACTCAGAATTTTTTTACTCAGAATGAATTTAAAACTACATTTTATTGTACTAAAACATATATAACAAAGTTTGCCATCTTAACTACTTAGAAGTATACAGTTCAGTGGCATTACTTATACTCAACTGTCTAGTTTCAAAAAAAGTCATCATTCCCAACAGAGACTCTATATCTATTAAAAGTAACTCCCATTATTATCTCTACTTCTAACCTAATCTGTTTCCCCCTCTATGAATTTTTCTGTTCTAAGAACTTT